GCAACTTAATTATGCAATGTGTACACAGATTAATTAAATATATCAATGAAAAACAATTATAAAATTGTTTCTTAAGCAATTCGAATTGTACTTCATAAAGATTATATGACAATATACTTTAATGTTTGTTATTTACAATATATTCGCAAATAAAACGGGGTCTTACTTTCATTTTTTTTTCCTTTATGTCGCTTTTATTTTTAAATATAAATTTTATATTTTAAATTACTGTTTTTCTGTACATATCTCATTAGATCCCGGGAAATACTTGTTGATTTTACAACTATAGATAATTTAAATGACTGGATGGAAATGTCGGATACTGTTAGAACAGTGGGAATGTCAAAAGCTGTTTTGACATTGCAAACTACTCAAGTTTTTCAACGTGCAATTTTCTTTACTCTTCTGTGTCCACAAATAAATGGAGCTGGCTTTGCAGGAGTACGAAAGAGAACAAATTTAAATTTATTAAACTTTAAGAATATTGAAATAACTTGTAGAGGGCAAGGTAGTAATAAAAATTACAAAGTTGTTCTTCGAGATAATGGTCACCATACAAATGAAGATATAACATATGAACAGATTTTCACGGTAAATCGAATTATTAGTTCAAGTAATAATATATACAAAAAATGACTATAAATTTAGTTATATAACATTCGTTTTCATTTCAAAGATATAGTTTAATAGTATTTATATTTATAATCTGGAATCAATATGAACATTTTATTGATACAGGCACCAATGTCAAATACTATATTTTCAACTGTAGTATTACCTTTGGCAAATTTTAAAGCGTACTATCGTGGACGAGGAATACCTGATGCAAAGCAATTAGATATTGGGAATATTACAATGCTGGGTTTGCAGGTTTATGGTGGAGTTTATTCAAAAGTTAAACAAAGTGGTGTATCATCATTAGAAATAGAAAATATTACTTTATCATAACATTCATACTATTGTAAATGTGACTTTTTTGTACTCATATGTGTACCCAATATTGTAATTTTATAAAGATTACATAAATATATCAAAACAACAAATTTTGTTAAAGTTTAATCACTATAAA